TTTAGCTATTCTGACAGGTGTAAGATGGTATCTCAAAGTGGTTTTGACCGTGACTGAACGAGCATGTGATCCAACCAGATTCTCTGAATGTGGCCGGATTTTCTGAATGTGGCTGGCCTGCAGTCTTTCCGAGAAGCCATTGACAATGACACTGGGACTGGTTTCCTCTGCATATACTGGATTTTTGGGATCCAGTCTGTTTGGATGCTCACCTTCCTGGACCTGGAGTGAGGGGGGAGGAACTTGGACTTCCCACAGGGCAGGAGACCCTGACTTCCCTAGGGGACAAAGAGGGAGGAGGAGAGGGAGGGGGGGAGTGGGAGGGCGTTGGGAGGAGGGGCGTAAATGGAAACTTTTTATAATTTAATAAAATTACAAAAAAAAAATTCTTGGGAACATAAATAAATTCTAAAAGAAATTTGAAATATAGTTATATAATTACTACATACTTGATACATAAAGATTAATCTCTTCCTGAAGTCTGTGTTTCTCCTTAAATTATAACTTCATATTTTCTGAAGTGATTAATTGAATGTAATACGTGCCCTGAAGGCTCATATCTTCTAGCACTTTGTCCCTGTCTGTTGATATTGGTTATGGAAGCTATTAAATCTTTACCAGCTTGAATCCAGATAAAGAAAGTTAGTCTCTGGGGGTTGGATTTGATGAATATTGCCCACTGTAGTTCTTGCTTGAGTTTTCTTCTTCTTGAATTGTGACATGTTGCAAGACCCTGTAGCTGTGGAGAAGCCAATTCCAGCTTCTGTGTTGGACAATATTTCAATACTTCTTAAGCCAAAATCAGTTTCTAATTCCAGTGTTGTTTATTACATAAGTTATGGAAATAGTAATGGCCCTGAAAGCATTATCACCTGAGTTTGATTACAAGAACCCAACTGAAAGAACTAGATATTGTAGTGTGCATTGAAGATGGGGAAATAAGCAGGTCTTTAAATTAACTGCCCAGCCAGTCTTATGACTTAAGGAGGTCTAGGACAATGAGAAAGCCTGTCTCTAAAGCACCGAATAAATCACTTCAGAGATGTAGAGTAATGGGAGTCATATGGGGGTAGATGTTTCAGGTGTTACAATAAAATTTCTAACAAAATTATTTTAAAGAAAGTCCTCATATAATTTTTGGCAAGTATTAAGTGATTATAACTTGTGTATTCAAGAAAGAACTCATCAACTGGAACTGGAGAGAGGACTCAGAAGTTGTTCTTAATACTTGTATGATGGATCACAATCCTCTATACTTTCAGTTCTAGCACATCATATAGTCTCTGTTTGCACCACACACTAATACAATGCACAGATATGCATATAGAAAAAAATCATACACATTCAAACAAAACAATTTCCAAGTGAGCTTTAGCTTTGAATCGCTTACCAGAGATAGCTTCATTAATTTGAGACTTGTTAAGAGTGATTATCTGTTTGCTTACTTTAAATTTCTGCTAAATTCCTTCACAATTTCAAATAATGAGGCTACTTTTGTTTTAGACTGCAAATTATTTACCCAGTCCTGTAATATCAAATAAAATCACATATGTATGACATTTTTAAGGAAGTTGTCAATATTTATTTTGTTCCTACACACATTCTGGTTTTGTGGAAAGAGAAATTGTGGTAGAAAGTATGGCTGCCCACTTGGAACAAACATGGTACATAAACTGCACTAACAGAGTATGTACTTTGAAATACTAACTGCACTAACTGCTCTAAGGAAGACATTAAGATGTGATTCCTGCTTTCCAGACCCAAATGATTAAAAATTTCCAATTACCACAATCATTTTTCCTTTGATATATAGTTTGGTGTGGGATGTCCTTCTCTCTATGTGTTGCTTTTATTGGTTAATGAATAAAGAAATTGCCTTGGCCTGTTGATAGGGCAGAACTCAGGTAGGCAGGAAAAACTAAATGTCACTCTGGGAGAAAGGAGGCAGAGTTAAGAAGCCATGGAACTGCAGGAAACAGACATTGGGAATTTTACCCGGCAAACAACAGCAACGTGGCAATATACAGATTAATAGGAATGGATTAAATTAATATAAGAGTTAGCCAATAAAAAGTTAGAGTTAATGGGTCTAGCAGTGTTGCAATGAATACAATTTCTGTGTGGTTATTTTGGGGCTATGTAGCTGGCGGCCAGGATGAACAAACAGTCACTCCTCTTACAATAGTTTGAATAGTATAATAAACCAAGATGCACAAAATATGTGTGAGCTAATGGTTGTAGAGAGAAATACCCTAATAGTTTCTATGATTAGAATATTAAAAATAATTGTCTTTATCTTCTGCCAAACAGGATGTATTTGATCTTGAAATGAAAGTTAAGTTTACTTTCTTCTACACTAACAATATAATCCCAAGACACATACAACTGCCCAAGTAATTAATTAGTGCAATTTCAGATCTATAAGTCAGAGGAAAATTCTACAATGTGCAACAAGACTAAAGGTCATAAGACAAGCATTGAGAGTGAAGTATGTAGCCCTTGGTATTACCATGTGCAGTTTGGACCAGGTTATATAATAGAAATGTATATAATTTATAAACAAATACTTAAAGGTTTTCACTAATATGGTACATATCGTAAGACAAATGCCTTTATTTATTCAACTTCAACACTCACTCAATTTTAATAATTTATTTTCTATTTGATTTCTATGTATTTTCCAGACTTTATCATTGACTTGATACACATCAGGCCAAATCGTATATTACAGATAATACTGAACTTTTAATGACTAAATAGGATTTTAGTTACTTCTTATGCATAACCACTATTATTTATAAGAGCCTCCAGAATATTTGCCCTTGCTCTGATTTAAGAATGAAATAGTATTGCTCCTTTGGAAAATATGAACAACATAATCATTGCTTTTAAAATATTCAATGAGAGTCATTTGTAATCTAATATCTTTAGGAATACATTCACTTGAGAAATTCTGCAACTTAAAAAGAAACTTTTTAATTTTTTTTCTGTATTTTATTGGGTACAAAATATTCAAAGGGGCACATTTAGAATATTGAGACAAACCAGTCTACCAACACAATGACAAATAAAAAATTGTTATATAATTATTCTGTAGCAAAAATAATGCTTCAAATATAAGCATATATATATATATATATATATATATATATATATATATCTAAGATTTTTTGTTTTGTTTTTTCAAGAAAGGGTGTCTATGTATAGCTCTGATTGTTATGAAACCGTCTCTGTACACCAGGTTGGTCTTGAACTCACAGAGATTCAGCTACCTTTGCCATCCATCTGTTTAAATTAAAAGTATGTGCTTCCATCTCCAGGCAATTGAATCCACACTATTATTTCTTAAAAATACAAAAAAGATAGCTAAATCAACTACATAAATGTTCTATTAATAGAACCTTGCAACTTATAAGAATTTATCATAAGATGAGGAAAACTTATTTTGCTTTAAATTTAATATTTTACAAACTTCATAGTTTCTTCAAATTTTCCTATGAAGTGACATCTGGGAGTATGAAATAGGTCAATTTCATATTGCACTTTGTGAAAAAAGATTGTTTTTTTAATTATGAATTCTCTAATTTTCCACATAAAATGATTAAGTAAAATAAAAATGAAATATGAAAGCATGCAGTCAAATTATCGTAATGAGGTTAGGAGTCTTATATAAAACAATTGTCAATATTATTGCATTTTGTGTTTTCATGGATATAGGTAAACAGAATAAAACAGGGGGATCTCTTTCCTACTATGATATTTTTAGTAATTTTTGCATATTGAGAATAACAAAATAAAAACTATTCAATATTATTATGTTAATAAATAAATAATATGTTCAAGTCAGGATATAAATGATAACTATAGTAGATGCAAATTTTCTTTCTTACCAGTTTTTGGTTCCACTGAAAAGTATGGCTGTCCTTGTAGAATACTGTAGACCACCCGAGCACTATTGCCATAGGTAGGATCATCAGCATCTGTGGCTGTCACTTGTACCACTGAAGTTCCTAAGTGACAACCAAAAACACTTTAGATTAAACTTCCCAAATACAAAGTCTTTAAAGTACTCACCAACTGTCTCAAATTCTGGGTTACATTTATTTGTTAGTTGTAAGTTCTCGTCATCGAGGAAAATGAGATATCAATCTAGTACTTATTTTGGTTAAACCAAATCAATGTTAAAAAAATAAATGTTAATAAAAATTCTTGAAATAGGTGATATGAAAATATGTAGGCAAAGACACTATGGAATGATGAATATTAAATTAAAAATTAAATCTCAGAACCAAATGAAATTGGATATTAGATGTCTCATCCATCATGCTCAGGTATGAAATTTTCATTAAGAGTACTGTCCTTCCGTCTCAAGGACTATTCATTAGACAGACTGTATCATAAAAGAAATCTAATGCCATATCAGTTCATTCCTTAGCAGGAATGGAGAGGGAAGCTGAAATCTAATCTTTTGCTGTGAGTATATATTCCTCTTAACTGTATATTAAGTGCTTACTTTATTTTCTTGATAAGTGTTCTCAGTTTTTTGTTTATTTACACTGATTCTTTTTAAAATACCGAATTAAAAATTTTTACCAAAATTCTACAAAGCATAAAAAGAACAGTGTTGTAGAAATAGCATTCTGCAGTATGAAAAATGATCTCAAAGTGTCTACATTTTATAGGTCATTACTCATTTACATGCTTTGGACTGTTTTTCTTCTGGTTGTTTATTCAATTTCAATGTGTTAGTTTTTGTTATATATTATATTTTATTATTATCCTGTGAAAGCCTGTTTGCTTTCTCTTTTTCTTTAAAAAAAAAAATGTTGCTTTCAAGTCTCTTACCTCACTACTTTTTTTTCTGCACTCATAAAATACATCCCTCCTGCACAATTGGTCAATAAGAGGGGCAATAATCAATGAAATCATTCCTAATGATATTTTGATACGCTCATATAAGTGTCTATTTTTGTTTTTGATTTGTCTAAGAGACAAAAAGGTGGTGAATCCAGAATGGAAAAAAAGGTCGGGAGGGCCTAAAGAGCAAAAAGTGTAATCAGAATATATTATGTGGAAAGAAATGTCGAAAAAAAGGGGAAAAAAAGTGAAAACATTTATTCCAAGTTCTGTTTTTCCACTGCACTTGGAATGTAAGCTTTAAAACCACAATTACTTCATGCATTCATGCACATATTATCATGTAATTTATATTCTGCCTGATGCATAAGAAAAAAGTACCATTTTAATAACTTGATTATTAGTTTGCTTATAATAATTCATAAATATGGAACTTTGTATATTTTTCTTAATGCCTATTTCATTTATATATTTTTTCAGAATTCCACTCAATTTCCATATTATGCTATACCATACTAATTCCATCTCCATTATAGATGAATAGAAATTATGAAGTTAAGTTATAAAAATTGCTTGTACTTTTGTTTATTCTTTGGCAAACTTCAATGATTATGCCTTGCAGAACCAATATGTTGAATGGTGTGCATTCCTAAATCAACCTAAGAATTACATTTTACAGATTTGCAAATGTGAAAGTTGAATAAATGTTTAGTTTATCATCACATTTAAATTATTGAAGAGGTACATATAGACACATATTCCTAAATGAGCATGAAGTTTGGATGTGTATATTGGTAGCTTTTTACCTGTGTGTAGGTTATGCACTACTGTGGAAACAGTGGTCAATCATGTGCATAATTACTAACGTACATTCCAGCTTGATTATTAAGACAGAGTCTCTCCCTGAATCTATCTCACTGAGCAGATTAGACTGAATAGTGGGCACACCCAGGACTCCCCCTTTCTCAGCCTCCCAGTGTTGGGAATACAAGTGTGCATTTGCATCTTCTAATATGGGTCCTGGTTTTGAGCCCAGAGCCTCCTGCTTTCATAGCAGACTCTTAACTGACTGAACTTTCCTTCTAGTCTCTGAATGGAATGAAGAACTTCCGTCCTTTCCTAAGCTCTATAGCAATTTAGAAATTGTCCTACAGACTTATTATCATTTATAAAACATATCTTAGTGTAAATTAAAAACAAGAGCGCTATAATGTTACACAATAAAAGCTTATAGGTGATATACTGTATCAATCAATGCGATTATAACTATTTTGTGAGAAGCAAACATTTTAGTAAGCTTTAATACATGTTACTAACTTTCAGTTTTTATTGATATTCAATGTTTAAAGTTTGAAATTTTTGTTGTTCAAGTTGTTTAAATAAGCGTTCAACAAATTTTAAAGGTATTTGAAAACAATTTTCTGAAAGGTTTAAATCATTCAAATCTTTCAATATATTAAAATAATTTATATGTATACATAATAATCATGCTTCTTGATATTGGAGTAAAATCATCCAAATAAAAACAGCGGTGCATTAGGTAATCTCCATAATAAAATTTTACATAAACTTTATTAGCATATTCCATGTCAATGAAAAATATTCCAAATACTAGTAAATAGAAGTATGAAGGTCAATCAAACATACTTCAAATTTATTTATCAAATATTATTAATTGGGGAGGAAATTTCTAGCCTCTTACAATCCATCAACCAAATCTTCTTTTCACTGTATTGATACTGTTATTTTTGTCAAACAGCACTTACAAGAAGCATTTTGAAGGCATGGGCAGAATTAAGAATAGGGAATACATAGGCTTTATCATAGAATGCATATCTATGTATTATTGTTAGAATCTCAGCCTCCTGGTTTAGAACCTCTTTAATGACTACAAATCCTGATAATTCTCTCTAGCTGCTAGAGCCACATATTTAATAAAGATGTGGTTCTAAATTGTGATGCCATAAATGGAACGCTTACCTGTACAATTCCACTCCCAGTATAAAAGCATCAGTCAAAGGACTGAATGAATAAAACAAGGTAAAGCATGGTGGTTAAAATTGCCACGTGCTTTAAATAACAATACTATCCGATATGAGCTTCCTTCATTAAAACAAAACCAACAACAATTAGCTGCTGTCCTATTTTATAGTCCTATTAAAAATAATTTATAAATGTAAATTACATACTGGCTAAAGAAAATGATGTTGGAGAAATACTATGAACACTGAGATTAAAAGAGAATTTAGATATTTTTAAAGTAAAATGAATAATTTCCATATATTTTTTTTGCAATCGACAATTGCTGAAAGACCTCAGAGGAGGAGGTTTTTCTTTTTATTATTTTCTGTTTATCTATTGCTTTGTTATAATGAAGAACCACTCAGTATTGAATTTACATGTGAAGAGATTACAAAAGGTTTGGTAGTGTTAAGCATTGGATATTTCAATACAGGCAATGAAGCAGCAAGCCTGTACTCCCCTGGGGAGCCACCAGAAACTTTGTAACAACAGAAAGAGAATCACACTAATAGAAAAGAGTTTGTTAGTTTGTGATTTTGCTTGTTTGTTTGTTTTCTTTTTGGAATCTCTAGAACAATCTGTCTCTAAGTAGAAGGAGATATAAAGAAGAAGTAGTAGTAGTAGTAGAAAAAGATAATATAATTAAAAGAGTTGGAAGAACATACTGTGAGAGATGTTGTTTTTTAAAAAATAATTTGTTAGACATTATTGTAATCATATTTTTAAACAAAATAATTATGTGATAGAAATGAAAAGGCTCAAGCCATTTCTAAAAGACAAAGAGAGTTGATCCATTTGAACACTATAAAATTAATATAAAATGTAAAAATATAAATCAACAAAATAAAACATCCCCTAATTTTCCAAGCAGGTAAAAAGTATTTGAATGAATGAATCTTGGCTGTTAGTATGTCATCAGATCCTTTCATTCTGAGCATCACTACACACAGACCAGTAACAATAAAAAAAGAGCATACACTTTACTTACCCACCGGAGACATTTCTGGAACTCCTGCTGTGTATGGACCATCAAGAAATTTGGGTTCATTGTCATTGATATCCTGAATTTTGATAACAAATTCAGATTCTGGTTCCACAGGCTTGTTGGTGAGTCTGTCCAATGCTTGGGCTCTGAGTGTATAATAGGCCTGCTCCTCCCGGTCTAGTCTCTTGGTGGCATGGATATCCCCAGTGTTCTCATCAATGATGAAAATGGAACTTGCCCCTTCACCTGACAAGATGTATTTGATGGAACCATCTCCTTTATCAACATCAGAGTGAAGCTGGTGAAAAATTCACGTGAGATGAGATTAACTTAGAAGAATGTCAGCAATACGGAGACATGTAAATGTCTGTCACCAATGTCAGGCGGTTGCATGAGATTTCATTGTGCTTGAAAAGGCAAGTCAAGTGCTGATTGTGTGTAGAAGCAAGAATGTTACAATTTGATATTCTGTATTTGAACAAGTTGATTTTTTTTCTAAAAATAGTCTCATTCCTAAACTTATCTCCAGCCTATTCCTAAATTAAGAAATTTTTTACATGTTACATATATAGACAGAAATAGGAATTTATTTATTTAAATATATATTTACATATATTTATATGTATTTATATATGTTATATATATATATAAATACATATATTTTATATATTGACCTGGGAATACTATATATATTCCCAAGTCAGTTTTTTTGCCATCTTTATTGTGGCAAAACATTACATACATATGCTTATATACTTGATTTGACTTCCATGCTGAGGTTTTCTGTACAATATTTGAATTTGGTTCTTCAATACTCATATATATATATATA